CGAGGAGGGCGGTCTTCTTCTCCTTCTTATAGATCGTGAGGTCCGGCCTGTTGCACCCTATAGTGCGGTCTGTAATTATAGGCATGTCCCATAGTATCTTGGTGGAGGCGTTCTCCACAACAGACTCTGGTTGGTGTTCGTACCACTTCTCTGGGACTTCCAGGCCGGCTTGCTTGGTTGGACACACCAGTGCACATATTTGCACACCCGGTCGTGCCTATACAAGCACTCCCTCGGGGCTAGTTCGGGGCAGGCACTGAGGAGGTGGTGAACCGTTTCAGGTGGCCCATGACAGCATCTGCAGAGGTCTTCCACATCCAGCTTCAGGATGTGCTTCTCGTAGTTACGAGTTCTAATGCACTGGTCCTGAATGGCTAGGATGTTGCTCTCTGTCTCGGCATTCAACAGTCCCTTCTTCAGCCAGTTATAGCTGACGTCCGAGTCGATATACGAGGGGAGGTCAAAAAGTTCTGAGACCAAGGCACTTCCAGTTGCAATACACCATTCTTACTTTTATAATGGGAAGACAGATGTCTTTGATGGTGTCTGACGAAATGTAATCTTATTTGTCGATTAAGGATAGCTTCTATTAATTGTTTTCAATATGCTACTAAAGGGTCTGGTGAAGGAGCATTAAAATTGAGACGAATGCTGTGAGGAATTTTCTAACCTCTAAGGAGCCGACCTACCAGCAGATCTTTCAGGGACTGAGAGTATAGAGTCCTATTGATCCTCCTCTAAAGGTTTGGATCTCGTGCAAGATAAAGTGACAAATTAATCTTTTGAACTCGATACCGGAATAACAGACTGGGGGGAGAAAGGTCGCATGTCCGTCCTGAAGTCCAATTTAAATTTCATGGTTCGCGGAAAGAGATGCCACTTAAAGTGGTGCTTGAACAACTAGAAGAACTTAGATTCGCAACCCAAGAAGTATGTTCAATTAACAACAGCGATTTTCACTATTCAAAGACGGTTGGCCTGATTCATTGAATCTAGAGTGTTAACAATTAGATAAAATGTTGCGAACAATATGGATCTAAAAGTCAAATTTCGATATAGGCAGTCCCCGACTTAAGACGCGCCTGACTCAGTCACTCAGTCTTTGTTACGACGCCATTTTGGTTGTGGAAAACTGTTTTGCTTGCATTGTGTTTCGACTTACGACGCGACTTTCAGGAATCAATTGTGTCGTAAGTGCGAGGACTGCCTGTACTGTACTATGCTAGCAAGACCCAATATCACTCTACCAGCGCAGGATTATAATTCGGGTGCCCCCCCCCCCCCTCACACACACACACACACACACAAATTAATTAGTGTAAAAGAAAGAGGATCTAGCATGTACAATTGCTTGACGAGATGTAAAATGTAGTAAAATGATGTAAAAAGGTTCCGGTTGGATGGAGGAGTTCAAATTTCTCTACTATTCGTAGGATCCATGGATGCACCCGTGCGTCAAAATGACATCCATATCGTATCGTAATCATCCTTTTCCCTATAATTTGTACCAAGAAAGGTCGGGCAGGTAATCCAAGGAAGCTCGAGAAATTCTGACTCGTTCTTGAATGCTTTCTCACCCCTTCCAGAATTTAATTACATTTGCTGCGCTTCCGATCGATACAGGGATGGGAGCTCGATAGGTGTTCCAGTCCCGCTCCGGTAGTCTCGCTGGCATGGAGTCCTGTTTTCCTCCCGCAGGAGGAAGAGAGGACTTCAACCCCTTACTCCTTCCTATTTTGAATGGGTCACATTTGACCCTATTGTCACCATCCGCCCTTTCATCCCAGCTTTAATCCTTCATGGAGCGCACGGGGAACGTTGGTTTTGCATTGAAAAGTAATATCAATCTCTTCCATAATTTTTTTTTAGCTATTTGGAATTGTGAAATTTCTGAATTTTCTGCGTTTCGGTTTAATGCAGCTGAAAATGGTGAAAATTTTGACTCGGATAGACCAGATGAAGCAGTGTCCATCATCGGCATCGTTCAAATCGGAGGCAGTATCGGAATCGGTATTGGATAAAATTTTTCGTATCAGTTATAACATCGTCCAAGGCACCAGGAAAAAGTCGTTATAAACGAGGTGGACTTATTATCCACATTTAAGTAATTTACAATCTGAATAGCAACTGAAGATGAAGCGATCATTTGATGAAAAGGGATTTTTCTTTTCACCTGCTTGCAGTCAACTCCCTACTGGTACACACGAGACCCTTCATGGATGCAGGTTCCAAAAAGAGAAAATTGATGGTTGCTACTGGTATTCCTAAACGATGGAAATTCCAGGTATGAAAGAAAGCTTGACGACAAATTACGAACTTCACAACGTTGTCGTTGGGAGGAAAACATTGACTGCTACAACCGAACTCGTTATGGCGAGGTTAACATGTCTCGTGGCCCTTAGGTGAGAAGTCTTCTATAAAGCCAATATCTTGTTACAACCGAGGTCGTTATGACAGAATTTTACTGTTCTACTACTACTAAGCGTTCAGGCATGATTTGCAGAATTCCAACCCTTTCCCATACATGAAAGGTGTTGGGTTGCGCTGACTTTGCCTTTATGTTGAGTGATATAGCAAGGATCAGATGGAGGTTTTGCCCGTGCAGTTCTGACCCTTGACTGATCCTAGCCCTTCGGCAGTGCGCTTGACTGGACCTGTCTCTAGCTGGGCGTAAGTCTGGCCTTGCATTTCCTTAAGGTCTGGCGCGAGCCCGAGTTTTATTCATCACTAATTTATTTTTCATTCATTTGGGTTGCTACTGCAACGACCTGAGCTCGGAACTCTCGAGCAATCTCCAAGCGCTTACTGTGATTAACTCTTTACCTGTAATGGGACATTACCTGTCCCACTCAGTTTCCCTACAAATCTTCTGGGAGACTACTTCTGGTCCAATTCCGTAGCTAACTGAAGACGACGCTCTCTGATAGTGTAGAAATAGCATAAACATGATTGCATTTTGCTATGATTAGGTGGCGCTGTGCTCTTTTTTCTATTTCACTCCTCGTGAAGCCTTCAATTTTGTTACGAGCCATCTTGACACGTATATCGTCATCTCGCCCTTTCGCTCCGAATAATAAAACTTGGCTATTTGTGAAAAGGCGTAATGTGTTACGAAAGTATTCACTTTACAGTCATCAGGAGCAGGAAGACTTGTCACAGGATGGAGAGGCAGGTTTTGTGAAGACAGATTACAAGCTGCCTGTTTTCCTTCAGATTAATCCGAGAAAGATTAGATTACTGATGGAATCGAATCTCTTATGCACTTTAATGCAGCGCTTTTACTTGGTTAACCCTTTATGACGATGTGGTTTCATGGAGAAACCACCCACCACTTTTTTTCCCGGCTTTCGTTGGAAATCGTTTAAAATTTCCTCTACCTTTGTATTACTCGAGAGCCATATAGCGCGCAGAAAAACTTCCACTTGAGTAAACAAGCGAGAGAAGTGACAGGTGGCTGGAAAGTTAGACGAGAAGCCATATAAGGCAAGGAAATTTATTGAAGTCTGGCGTCTCTTTCAGGATATCTGGTGAGTTTTTTTTTTTTACATTTCTGTTCTGTAGCACTAAAACTGATCCACATATTGCACCAAATGGATGTGCTATGAATGTAAGGTTGGTCTCTGCATATTATCTCTCAAAAACTGCTTTAACCTGTACCATCAGAAATGGATGCGTTGCTTGATTTCATTCCATGGGGATTGCCAACTGTAAACACCCTATATTCAGTACTAGAAATTTGAATACTTTTTTTTTGCACGATAGTGCTTCTATTTACCCCCTACCGAGTCTCTATCACAATTTTTGCCGCTTTCCAACAAATATTTAAAATTTTGTGTCTCAAAGGGATAAAGGTCTAGAAAAAAGGCAAGAATTTCATTTAAGAAGGGAGGGGGGAATTAAAGTCGACAAACGCGACCCTTGCTCTTCCTCAAATCGTTCGAGACAAAGAAAACAAAAACTAGCTAAGGAAGAACCCGTCTCCTGAAACTATGCACAAACTGCCGATTCTCGCAATTGCCTGGTACACCGACTACTGATGACCCAGACATCTGGTAGTAAGAATTGTCTATAGCCACTTTCTCGCCCTGTGAGAAAGAGGATCTTCTAAGAATGGATATTTCTAGTCCTCTGCTCAGGTCATGCTTCAGTCACAAGCTTAGGGTTACCATACGTCTGGGTTTTCCTGGACATGTCCTCCCTTTTCGTCTTCCAATTTTGTCCAAGCAGAAGGCATCCTCTTTTAGGCTGCCCGAAATATGGTAAAATAAGAAATATGGTATCAAGTCAGGCGAGCCTAGGCAAAACGAAGGAGCAGCCCTGGACTGGGCCTTCTTGCAACTCTAGATGCAAGAGTCAATGTAATTAATGTTTTCCTCTACCTCTTATTGCTCAATAATGTTGGATACTTTGTAACTCCACATCTAATTTCATCACACAAGATGAAATAACTCATCTACAAGACCAATCAAGTCGCTATCAGAAGATTCTGCAGTCTATACTTTTCTTCACCCATTGACAGTGCCTTGGATAAACTTAAAATTATCGTCCATATTATCACCATAGCTATTATGTGCAAGATAGCTTTAGTCCTTGCTGTGCAGCATCCTGAATAGATTAGAAACCATTCCAATTTGAGATTAGAGTGGACATGCATCACAGCATATTCAAAGCTGCATTTGCTAAAAGCAACTCAGTGTTTCTGTCCATTTGCAGACAGCTGCACTTTGAGCTGAATCCTCCACCTCCTTCAAAGAGTTAATGGAAAACTTCATTGTAAAGTGAATGTTACCTGAAATCTAGAAACTCACAGCAACTCCAAAAAGCATAGTGGAGCATGGAGCATAATTTTTTACATGATAAAAGGCTAAGTAATTGAATAATTTATATGCATAAAGAACATTTATTGTAATTTGCAATTGAGATCACAGTTTCACATAAAATTCCTGAAGGGTAAAAACACTTACACAGCATAAAAAGTCAAGGAATAAAAGATAAATTGACATCAATATCTGGGATAAAATTTCACATGAATGGGTTGAAATTCATCATTGACAAGAATAGCTATGTACTAAAGTGCCATATCAGCTGTAAAACATGAAAAGTTTCATGGTCTAAAACTCATGATTAAGACGCATGAAAGTTAATTTTAAAAACTGATCAAATTATTCAAATCATGAGTCAGTAAATTGGACACCAGCAGCCTTCTTGATTCGTTTGGAGGAAGGATTGACAAGGCTCATACCAGGTTGCTTCTTCACAGGACTAGCCTTGTCCTTGCCTCCTCTTGTTGGCATCTTTACAAACTCAGCTGTCCTCTCTGTCCTCTTCTGGAAAGCAATTAAGCCTTTGGCTTCTCAAATCATTGATTATACAACAGAAGAGTCAATTTTGTGTCAATGGATAGTGCATTATCCATTGACACTGCATTGAGGCAGTGGATTTGCTATCTCCTCGAGCTGAATCGTCCCCTCAAATGACCACAAGGGTTACCTTGAGAATTTGTCACTTTCACTAGAATTATAGCTTGCTCCTGTATGAAGGGGAAGGGAATAAAGCAACCTGAGGAAAATAACTTTTTCCATTCCCTCCAGCTTCCAGGCAAAGGGCTTTGAAATACCCTTTATGGTGGGCCTAAGGCTCTGGTCAAGTTGTTTCTCTTCCACCTGGGGACTTTTGGCAGTCTTGCTCCTTTGCTAATTGATAAATTGAACAATACAGCAAAACCGCTGAAACTTAGACGTTCCCCTTTGTTCCCCTCATTCATAGGATGGTGTTTAGACCCTTTGGACTCAGTCTTGCAATATGTGTCCTTGTGCCCACATCACACTCAGATTTGATAAAAAAGGATCTAATATCATCACAGCAAGACACAGCAGCAGCTAGCATGCAAGGCAGAATCAAGTTTGGCTCACCTCCTGTTGAGCAAAAGGTGAGATGCTGGCAAGATGAAGAAGGAGCATTTGGATATCTTCTTGTGAGTCCTTAGCCCCAGCTACAGTCAATGTCTTGGTGAAGCCAGTGGCCTGACAAAGAAACTCCTCACCTTTCTGGGTCACCTCATATTTCCCCTGCTCCAAATTCTCCCTTTGGGGGGTAGACAAATTTTGCAATCTCTCAAATTGACATCAATAAATAAAAACACCTGATCTGAAATCATGCCTGGGTACCTGACAATCTCTGGAGAGGTGAAAGGCTGGTTAGCATCTTGCAGAGATGCTATCCATACCTTTTTGCCATCAGTCACTCCCAAGATTATCTCAGCATCCTTTTCAGCTGTTTTCTTCTTTGCATATAATATGAGGGACTTGCCACTAAGATATCTCACAAAAGGCCACTTCATCATCCACACTGAAGAATTTCACATGCTGCCCAACCAACGTCCCAATTTCACCCTCTACTTCTTAATATCACATTTATGATAACTTCCATGGGGAGGAGAGCCCAGGGAAGTTGGAAACAGGCTAAATAAAGGACAGGATGCAAGGATTTGCTGGAAACATATTTCCACACAAGCAGAAATTTAATGTAGCTTTCTGTACAGTATATGCTATTTTCTCATCTCTAATCCAATACTTTCAAGAAGCTGCACAATTTTCCATGGAAATAAGAAGAGACAAAACAGTTTAAGGCAGCAGTTCTCAACATGTGCACCATGGCACCCAGGGGTGACCCAAGAAGCTGGCAAGGGTGCCATGGGTGTTGGGAGAATTTTATTTTTGGCCTGTCAACAAAGCTGTGTAAAAGGCCAGAAGTCTACAATGCTACTGGTGTATTCATGCATTCACATTCATAATACACAGCAGGCAGGAAACCTCTTTAGAAGAACCACATTTAAAGTGTGACACTTCTGACTTGAGCCTACTCCTACTTTCTTAACCCTTTGAGGAGTGGGTTTTTTTTATGCCAAGAAGATCACCCATAGTGAATACATGGAGGGCAGGAGGATGTCAGCCCGTATATATATGGGCACACTCATCAAAGGGTTAATAAAAGTGCATACTCCTGGCATACACTTTATTGAGATTATCTATCAAGGAAATTTCAAGACCAATATTGTTGCTGCATTAGAGATAAATATTGCTTTCTGCTACCAGATATGTAGGTCTACCATCTCTTAATCTGGGTATTAAAAAAAAAAAAGTCCAGGCCCTGTCATTACAAGTGAAATGGGTGAAAGTCACTTAAAATTTTGAGCTGCATCTTAATTTTCTGGGCAACCTAATGCAGATGCAGATATGGCATTGGAGTGGGAAAAAAAGTAAAGAGTCTGAATACTTTTTTTGTTGAAATGATGGTTGTGCCAAATGACAGTTCAAAATCAACCTGTTGTGAATGAACTCAGAGGTCCTGCTTAGGCTTATGTAATTGTGCATGGAGGTTTGTGGATGTGCAGGGGTGCCACTCAAAACTTGCTCTGTGAAAAGTTTGTTGTTGCAAAGAAAAGGATTGAGAGCCACTGGTTTAAGGGAAACCTAGGAATTACCACTTCCACATGCCCCATCCTTATGGGCAAAGGCTCACATCATATGGCCACAGTGGTAATTAAGGCTTAAAAAAAAAAAAAAGAGGCTCACAAGTATGACAATCATAAAAGAACATTTACTCATAACAACACAATTGATCCAAGCATGGAAGGATCAGGTGCCAAATTTCTTCTTCTTGAGGGGAGGTGGTAAGGTGGAGATCAGCTGCTCTGGTGTCCTCTGAACAATTACTAGCTCATCTTCTGACAGGAACCCCATCCCAACCACATGCTGTAAAACAAACACAGCTTACAAGGATACTGATTCAAAGACTTTAGTTGGAGGCCAGGGAGAATTCTTACTCTGTACTGCTTATGAACAGCTACACCAGCTTCCTTATGGCTTTCCTCCTTTCTCCCCATCTTCTTGGTTCGTTTGTGAGACTTCCTCTTCAATTCTTCAAGCTCCTTCTTCGTATCTCTGTTTTCTATTTGAATCTGTTCATACAAAAATCCCATTTTTGAAATTGTCTCATAACAGTGCCTTATATGACAATCTGTCTCCACCCACTTGTTGCTTGTCAAGAATGACCACTGCAGAGGTATCATGAATTAAGAGAAGATTTTGATGTCGAGGATGGAAGGAGACACCTCTGGCAGCATATGGGTGGCTTAGGTGAGCCAATGGCAACTTTCTGTAGATTTCCCGGTACCACTTTGTGAACTCTCCAGTTTTGGCATTGACCTCTTGGATCTAAAAATAACCAGCAACAGCATGATGAAAGCTTATCCAAAATGCATGTGAGGATTGTTTCCAAAGTTTAGCTAATACCATTCGGTCAGAAAAGACAAGGATGAGATTTGAAGTCCCAGGCTGCATTGCCATGGCTGTTACTGGGGCCAATGAGTTCACCTTCAACCTATGTGTCACCTGTGAGAAACACATAATTAAAAAAATAGTACAGGATGCTCTCAAGTTCTTCATGCCTACTATTGAAGGAATGCTTGAAGAGCAACTGACAGTGAAGGAATTGAGGTCTACCACAGCAACAGCTGGAAAAGAGCCAGCAACAGCACACCTCTTCTCCTTTGAATCGTGACTGATCAGACATACAGCTGACTTCCTCCCCACTTCACCTGTCAGGACATCTATCACCAAGGACATAAAAGAAACTCAAACAACATGAAGGCATAACTATGCTGAACAACCAGGTAATTAACTAACTTGGGATGGAAACATCACATTGTGGTCCACTGATGTATGACATGTCATGAAACCGAAAGACATGGAGGGAGCCCTGGTTGTCACCAGCAAGTAGGCGATCCTCTGAGATGAAGGACAAGGCTGTGGCACCTCTCTCACATTCACTTGGCAGGCACTTCACTTTTCGGAGGACAATGTCTTCTTCATACTCTCTAACCTGGATGTGGATTGTCATTGAGCAAGATCAGTGAACACTAAGAGCATAAAATAAGCAGACAATGAGCCAAAAGTAGAACTTAAAGGTTCAATATGATAAGGAAAACAAGCCCTCCATACCCATGTGTATTTACATGGGTTAAATGTATATTCATAAAACAAAAGATCACATTGTTGAGTCAGAATTGGGCTTCTTTAATAGCTTGTGGGAAATGGCACTATACAGATTGCAATGGATTGTTGCAAGTAATGCTCTATCTTTTTTTTTATGAAGAAAGTCCATATGGGATTGCACTGATACAGAACTAACTTTCTAATCGGCAGACATTAAACAACATAATCAGCATCAGACATTGATGTATGTTGGAAGCTATTAGTATCAACAACACCTGGCACATCAAGCCAGGCTGATTAAGTCCTAGTCACCAGTATATTCCTCCTTCGATTTGAGAAAGCTGATAATGATCCTACACTAACTGCTTTCATCGAAGAGAGCGATGCTCCGCTTCTCTCTCAGCTCGATGTTATAGGGCTTATGAAGAAACTGAAAAAACAATCTATCCTGTGGGCCGAATGGAATACCGTCATGGCTGCTATGAAACTGTGCAAGCCAAGTTGCGAGCCCCCTGACGCAGATATGTAACACCTGGCTTCGATCCGCATCCATTCCACGTTTCATGAAAAGGGTCAAAATCACCCCAATCGCTAAGAAGAGTCCAGTAATGGCGCATAAAGACCTTCGACCTATTGGCAGCACCTGCCCGATTCTCAAATACCATATCCTCTCTTATCTTACAGCGTCAGAAACGCTTTGCTCTGCTCAATGGCAATTCGCTTACAAGCAAGCTAGATCGACGAACGATGGGCTTGCGTGCCTTCTCCACACCATTCAAGAAGGCCTGGATTCTCGAGAGACTCAGATAATGCGTTGTCTCGTGTTCGACTACAGTTCGGCTTTTAATACTGTGGACCGTCAACATCTCGATAAATTAAATGAAGAGAGGAAAATTCCATCCTGGCTATTACGCCTCGTCCACAGTTATCTAACAGAGAACAGCCAATCTGTTTCATATGGTAAAGACATCTCTCCTTTGCCATGTCGGACAGGCGTCCTACAAGGTGGAGTTCTATCCCCCTTCCTTTGCACTCGAATAACAATCACTCTACGCTCCTCCAAAGAGAATGTAAAAATCATAAAATACGCAGATGACTGCTATTGTTGCACCTATAAAGAACGACGGAGATCTTCGGGCGTACCCTGAGGAAGTCCGAAGGATTGTCGATTGGTCAGCACAACATGATCTAATTCTCAATCCCGATAAGTGTCAAGAGCTTGTTTTCTCTTAAACACCCGTTTAAGAAAGGTAGAAATGCTTCAACGCGAAACTGACAGTGAATGACTTCGAGATCACTCCTGTTCATGAAGCAAAATATCTTGGTGTCATCATCGACGATAAGCCGAGCTTTCGATCTCAAGAAGAAATTGCATGTAAGAAGGCATTCTCAAGATCATTCCTCGCAGTAGAGCTCCTTCGATCCATCACTGGAAGTCTTGACGCCATACGTAACTTTGTGGATGCCTGCATCTTGCCCGCTTTGCTTTACGAACTTCCAATCTATGGGGACTTCTATCGAAGGAAGCCTGCGATCTCGTATCTAGGACACTCAAACGTCTGGCTCAAGTATCTGGAAGAGCTGCTTCCAAGTACAAACAGGAAGTACTAAACCAGATGCAACTTACAAGAGACACGTTTCTTGCCAACCTGAAGAGTGATGTATCTCATCCGCTGTCATAATACTTTTGTAGATGTTTTCGCATGGGTGGGGTCCAAACTCGAAAACAGTTTATATACCCAAAAGTGAGAACAACCAAATTCAAAAACAGCTTCCTTATGAAGGGGATCAGAAATCAGCCTCCTGTAGAATTGTGACACCAGTATACTTTGTTTTGTTTTGTGTTTGTGCTAACGGGCCGAATCAAGGCTAATAAAGGGTCATTTAATTTCATATTTCAGGGCGATACGACACCACGACGTTCGGATTTAAACAAACACAAGAATGACACGAGAAAGGCTTACAGGCTCTACGGTCGAAAATTGCAATTATTAACGCCACTCTTAGAGGCCTTGGCCCAATGGGATCAAACTCAAAAAAGCGTTTTGACAACGAAAGGGTTAGTGTGTCTACTTCTGGCGCATCCTGTACAGTATATTTTGTTATCTCAGTCCTCCGTAGCAGTAGGGAGTTACTTATATTTTTCACACACATCTCCATGATTAGATAGAGATTGAACCTTTTGCTCTGTTTATCAGAGTCACTTTAAGGATATATTCTAAATTCTAATGAATCTGATTAATCATGTTTGAAGGGCCTGAAATTCGCCCTGCATACATGATTGGACGCAGGAAGGGAAGTGATAATGATGTGCATGCGTACGTTCATAGGAGTTTAGTAGTATTAATGAAATCAAATTAGGAAATTGTTGCGCTTTTTCAGAGGTGTACTTAGCAGAGAAAGAGTAATTACTCCCTCACGCTTGAAACAATCCTCATTAACGCGCATTAAGCAAACTTTCGCTCGAGGGTCAGGGTTGAAACAGTCGCGTCGTAGGTGACGCAGACTGAGGACCGATCGCTTTCCCTTCCTCCGTCTTGGCTCGTTAGGACGTGTCGTTATGACATCAGTTTGCGGAATCCCGTCTGCAAGCTGAAAATGAATACGGGAATAGGATGGCGTCATCGATCGAATTGCATATAGGAAAAGGGAACGGATGCGAAGCTCCGGCCACTTCCGTGCCCGATCACGTTCCCGCTCCAGTCTTGATCTGACAAATTCTCCAGTGTCTCCTCACGAAAAGCATTCAAAGGAGGGAAGGCGCCAGAACGAAAAATATAAAATAAAACCTTCGGGGTCCCTCTTATTTCCTCCAATCATCCAATTTCCTCCGTCATCTACCTATAAAATGACGTAATCTACCTATAGGTCCTATAACGTAGATCCTATAATTTATCTGCTTTCACGGCATCTAGACAGCACGGAACGTGTTAAAACACTGAAAGGTGGAGGAGATCGGGGATAAACTCGTATTCTGTTACTACAGACCACAATTTTACGTTCTCCACCTGGGTCTGATACTTCTTTTCCTTTCATGCTTCAATTTATCCCGTTCGTAAGCCTGAAGTCAGGATGCTTCAAAACGCTATTTACCTAAGAAGTGAATCGCCTTAATCTCCTTGAAGCCGTGGCACAACTCCGATGAGTATGACAAGCTACGCTGTCCGCAAACCAACAAAGGTCGGGATTATGGTCTCAAACTCGGCGCAGATTTTATCCGCACATTCAAGTGGAATGGATTGTCGTCTACTACTACCGTTGTTGAATCTTCTTGAACCTGTTCCAATCAGGTCTGCCTCAGGATCGGAAGCAGCGTGACAATTCCTACAGAAAAAACCGCGGCAGACTTATTTTTCGAACTAATGACTGGTATCTGACAAAACCATGAAGAAAACTGACGCATCCAAAAGACAATTGACTTGCCAAACTTATACATAACGCAGAATCGAAGGGAGGTAGGGGGAGGGGTACTGGTAAGGGTGATGACACGAACACAAGAAGCAGTTCATGAGCAGAGTTTCTCAAAAGACGCAAGGAAAGAAGGAAATAATAATATGGTAGGTGATACCAGACTCGAAGATGGTTTCCTGCTCCTTTTCACTGTCCGCAGCACGCATATGACTGTGATCTTCCTATCGTTTATCATTTTCGTCAGTTTGTCATAAGAAAAGATATCACAACTCACCAGCTCAAGATTGAAGATTTTCATGCTATTAGTCAGAGAGTAGGCAAGCCAGGAGGCGTTTGGAGAAGCAGCACATGTGATGATGATTTCATTATCCTGTGGTTCGATGACGAGGACCTTCCTGGGAGGTTCAATGACTTTGAGAAATCTGCGAGATCCATCTTTTGGGGGCTCTCGATCAACGGCAGAGCCCAACCGCCAAAGTTCCAATGCAGTCTTGGTGTGAACCAAGAGTTTCCTTGCAGTTGGGAGGACTTCTACACAGGGAGCCTGCATACCCAGTCTCTCGTTATGAGTCAAAGTCCACATTCACAGACAAACAGCTGATATTGATAAGAATATCCATACTTACCTGAGGAATACCTGGATACCGTACTGTCATAGTATGCCTGGTTGATATGCTGAGATACCCATCAATACCTGGAAGAGTAAACATCTAAATTATTACATCACTTAAAGGAACTTGGAACAAAAGGAAGAACTTCAAAAAGTTGATAACAAACCTCCAGTAATGAGAAATTTATTTAAATTCAATACAGCTCTCACATCATGAGAATGCGTGACTCGACCTAAGGAACGGACCCATTCTCTTTCTCCACCCTCTGCTCTCTTGAACTCTACCATCATTGGATCAACACCTGGCAAAAATCATCACAATTTAGCACTTCAAAATGTTAACTTGAATGACAAAAGCTGCTGACACATTGACAATCTTTTCTTTTGAAATTCATGGAGCATTCCTGAATAGAAATTCAAAGTCAACTAAGAAATGAGATGATTGAGAATTCTTTGAGTATCTGAGGAGAAGATAATACCTGAAATTCTTAAATACAACTCTTAATTATTTATTTTATTTCATGACTACACCTAAGCCTTACCTGATGTGTAGACAGAGTCTTCTGTTGGAGAGAGACTCAAGCATAGGACATCAGCTCTGTGACTCCTGAAGGAGGTCTTCAATGTTCCCATATGACCATCCCAGAAGCAAGTCTTTCCTCTACAAGCATCCAGTACCAATATGAATTGACCAAACCCTTATCATAACAAATTTAAGCAAAGTAAAAATACAATTAAGACAAAATCATCAAAAGAGATGGCAGAAATAGTTCCAAATAAAAGGATGAATTACAAGATGAATATTTAAAAAATAAATCACTTTCCAAAAGACAAAAGGAAACCACAATCTATTGAAAATTAAAGAACCCTCACAATAGAATGTCTCATATAAGGCAGGATTTGAAGCCTTTTATAATTCTCAATGTTCACAGTAAAGACACCAAAGTGACAGGGATATGTGCAGATTGCCAGGGGTTAAATATATTCAAATAGTTGATGCATAGCTCAGTTCTACAACTCATTACAACTTTCAATCCCTCCAAATGCTGGTAACTACTGTATTAACAACCTAGAAATAGGCACAGCAGTGCACTTTTGGAATTGGAATCATTTCTATTGAAGTCATGGATGGTATTAGACCATGGTCCAGTAATCCATGGACTAGCTATATAAGTGCACAAGTAATATCAAGGATATATAATAAAGCTATAAAATAAATGAGCAGCAAGCCATTTGGGCAGTTACTCAAGCAGACAAACCCCCCCCCCCCCCCCACAACCAAAGTTGATGGTGCCCATATCCAGATTTTTGCTCAGATGTGCCAAAAAATTAATTAAGTTTCATACCTTTTACATTTTCAATGACCTTCAAACAAGACCTGAAACAAAATTTCCTGCAGCAACTCGAAATGGAATGCTAACTATAGTGGCAAACTGGAACCAAACTAAATATCCTTTGAACTTTAAAATCCAAACACAGCTTAAAATAACAGTATCTTTCTGAACAACTTCAGTGTTATCAAAATTAGGACCAGCTCATTTCCTAAATTTTATCATACATACCAAATGCCAAACTGTTTTGATCAAATCTGAACTCACTTAACCCTTTGAGGAATAGGTTTTTTTAGTGCCTAGATCACCCATTGTGAAAACATGGAGGGCAGGAGGATGCCAGCCCATATATATATATGGGCATACTTGTCAAAGGGTTAATATGGACTAAACCTGGTACTAGAGAAATATGACTTACACAACCACTGCAAATACATGGAGAAAAACTAGTGACTATGAGATTGGATATGGATGTTGCAAAACAAATGGGGAAAGATATTTTTAGATGAAAAAGTCAATAACCAGTTACTGATTTCAAAACTTCCTCACCTGGAATCTCCAGTGATGATTGTGAAGTCTGAGCAGAAAGCAACACACCAGACAATGCATTCACTGTTGGGTTGAGATCGGCCTGTGGTGATACGAGTGACTGAATGCCCAGCAGCCACATTCCAGATGCAGATGAAATCAATTGACCCAGTAACTAGAAACTTCCCTCCTGGATGCCATGCAATGCTAAGTATTCTACCTGTTCAAACAAAATTTACGATACATAAATCAAAAGAAATTTAAGAAAATCAAGGCATGATTCTGCAAGATAGCTTTCATTTCTGACTTGATCTGAGAAAATGAGAATCAATCCAAAATGGTAAGCTTACCCTGCTGTCTATCCAAATGCTTCTCATATGTGAATCCATCTTCCAATAATGTGAATATGGAAACATATCCATTCTCTGTACCCACCTGAAATGCATGAGGGCTTGAGTAAAATAAATAGCCAGTCTTTTGCATATAAGAAATAAGTACTTCAATCCAATGAGGTAGAATAAAAACATAAGAGGCAGTATTCATAATAAATATTCAATACTCACTGCTAGTAATCCACTGTCTCTATGGATTGACAGACACCATCCAGCTCCAGATGTAACAGGCTGCTCCTCCTAATGGCAAAGACTCACTAAATTTACACAGTCTCAATGAATCCTAGTCATGTTCTATATAGGACCATGACTATGTTTTAGGAAACCCCATCTTGGCTTCACAGATAGTTAACAATATCAGAAAAGAGGATGTGGTCATGAATATAAAATCATGAAAAATTTTCCATTGCAATATTCTAATACAAGCTGGAAAAAAACATAAGTTACTTAATATATGGTTACCCAATATTAACACAATTGGGTGCTGATCATACAAAGTCTCCAACATAGATTTTGCAATCACAACTGGAAAATTGCTGATTCGAGGCTAAGGCCAAGTATACATGTGCAAGTATACTCACAAGAAGTTACTCTCAGGAGAGTGCCAGCCAGTGAAAAGAGATTAACTCTATATCTTGGATTCATCAACAGAGGTTTCATGTTTGGAAAGCTCTTACATCTATAACTTTCATGCAAGATTACTTGGGAAACATGCCATCTACCTGGTTTTGAACACATTTCATACAACAACAAACTTATTACAGAATAAATTTGACCATTGTGAATTCCAGCAACCTCCAAAGACATTCTCATTCAGCCCTGCTGAATGAGTATGCAGTCTTGTGGTATCCACATCATGCCAACTTTCACTAGGCAACATTACTACTTAATTACTGATGGGCATCCTTTTAATGCTCCCCTCAGCTGAATGACTCTCAATATCAGCATCCCCTTGACCTACTGATTAATTTCCATTGTCTTCATAAGGTGGAAATGGACAGGAGTATGCATGCTTTCAGCGTCCACTCAGAATTTTGCAGGACATCTAACTGCACAGACACCTAAAGGCAGTGAGTGCAGTATTAGGATGGAAATTTTAATGCCAAAAGGCATTCACCCCTGTTAAGGGATCAAGGTTAAGTATCATGAAATAAATATTACAAGATCCTTGCATTTTTTTAACCCATAACGGAAAAAGAATATATATTCTCAAAATTCTTGCAGTTTTGTTTGAGTTGCCAGTTCCTAATACATCAAATGGATTCACCTAAGCAACCCTCCATCAATACCAGGTGGCCCAAAAAAAAGCATAATGTTTGATGCCTTCTAAAAATCCATAATGGATGATCTAGGTTCATGATATTTTCATATTAGATTGGAAACACCACAGAATTTGTTTCCTGAAAGATTCATGTACCTAAGTTGTCTGAATAAATATTGACAGTTGCTCAAAGTGGAGTAATATAATGGACCTTTCAGCGCATGAGGTGGATAAAGTTTCAGGACCACTCGAATATTTCTCTCCCTTGACATCATGAATACCACTTTTTACACCAGTTCTCATCGTGGTATTTTGTATGGTATTGATTCTGATGCTACAATGTACAGTAGTACTACTATATGATGTGTAGAATACTACCTAATTTTTCAGGCCCAATCCTGAGTTGATCCACTTTAGCCTTCAGTTACTGACTAAGGACTGTTGAACAAAAAATGTGCAGGAAGGAAACACTCAGCAGTTACTGAGTGTCTCCTTCCTGCATATTTTTATGCAGTTTATGCTGGACACAGCTGAATTGCACTCTAAACTTCAGCAGGTCAACAGATCTATCCCTCCCACCTCCTTATATATGTGCAATGTATGAAAATGATTTACATGCTTCATCCATGCCTCACCTTGATTTCAAACGAGTAAGGGCAATACTCAACCAGAAATCCACTGAGACCAGTAGAAAAAAGGCGTCCTTGATACCAACCTAGGGCTTCCACAGAATAGTCTAACCTTGCCAGGAATGTGCATTCTTGGTATGGATTTCCTTGGAGATTCCATATTTCAATGGAGTTATCTGACCTGAAAATATATCAAGAGGAACAGTTTGGCATTAGAACGAAATTAAGCCTTATTTAATCTTCTGATTTATTTTATTCCTTTCATGTGTATCATCTGATTAATTTTTTCCCCTGTGAATCCCACTAAGTTAAATATAAGGCCTACATCTAGGCTTCAATAGTGCCCTATCATAAGTTAATGGGTTAAAGCCCCAATTCACATTTTTTTGCTCGATTTCACTGAAAGTCAATAGTTTAGAGGAATAAGAATGCCTTACCTGCTGACAGCTATCTTCCTTACGTCCTCATCATATGCAAGGCAATGAATGGCCTTCGGTTCGACCTGCACGAATCCTACTTTGTGAACCTTTGCAAAAGCAGCCATAAATGATGGTCAACTGCCAACTGCTACGTCATATATATAAACGCCTACGAAGAATAAAAGGGAAGATTTACTATTGCACGAAACATTGATGAAACGTTCTGCCAGATGAAATAATAGTATAATTTTCGATCCCATGCACTTCCCTGGAACCAACTTCATGTGGCAGGCAGTGCATTTAATCGAAAATCACTGTACATAATCAGCTAACGTATTTGACATGGACACAGAAAAAAGGCATGGGCACGACAGCGCCAAAGCCACGCGGCCGCTGATGACAGCCATGTTTGTGACGTCATCCCTCCTTCTGACATCAGTTTCAAGGATGACCCTGATTGGTTATCATTCAGTTCTTGAGCAAGCTACGATGGCGCATGCTTCTCCCGCCTCCAGGATGGAAAAACAGACAAGCGGACAGGTGAATAAGAAACTTAGTGAAATAGTTTAGTTTAATGAAAGATCACCTTGCAGGTAATACTATGCAATAGCTTTCGAATCCATTCTAGGCTTGAGTCCCCTGGTGTGACTCGATTAACGCAGGGTCTGCCGACCTTATCCGTTGGCAGAGAATAATAAGTAGAAGTACCTCGATACATTTACACAGCATAGAAAGTATTACAGATATCTGTCGCTTTCAAGTGCTGTTTAAAATGTATTTTGCCCATCCTACTTAGTGCTGGTTTCATGCTTCATCTAACTATAGACCTATTTCTCAAACGTTATTGCTGTGAGGGGGGAAACAGGGAGCAATTCATTGGGGCTCGGGGGGCTCGAGCCTCCTCCCTAAAAATTTGGCAGAAGGGGCTCAGCGAGAACATGAGAATGAAGAATACTTGCAAAGAGTACTACCTCTGAGCTCCCCCCCCCCCCATATTTCTCAACAAATCGGAGGGAGGAACTATCTCATGACAGGCTCTAGACTCGCCGTGGTGTCTAATACGTTCGCCACTCGCCACATTTTACTTTGTATTTTACTGTGTATCTGTCTTGATTGATAACGGTTTACAACCCCAAAACTAATTTCAAAAGATTACTCATTCTTTTTCTTAATAGTGCATACATTTTTTTATTATATTATGGTGAATATGGTCTGGTCGCCACAAGTTTGGGGAGCATCGAAATCCTATTGGACACCACTGCTCTAGAGCGAGTGTAAGCAAGAGTCTCAATCTGGGCGTTCCTGCGCCACTGATATCCATGCCTCGTACGATATACTGCGATCCCGATTCCCAGAAAGTCAAGTATACTGATTGCATCTTTATTTTTAGATTGGCCTAAGGCATTCGATAAGCAGGGGAGACCGTGAGACACCGGACAGGGTGTTTATGAAAATCCATGAAAGGATGTTTCTGGGGGGAGGTGGGGCTGTGACAATCTGACAGTTTCTCTAGATAACAGAATTTTCGGAAATGTCACGGCCTACTCCTTTCAACGGAACAGACTTAGAAGCAAATAATCGACAGAATCAGTCAGTGGTAGAATTGCAAGTTTCCTGTAGTCTTGTAGAATTTCTGTACGAGTGTTCCGTAAAATACAAGGCAGGTGGCAACTGAAGCCCGAAAAGACATCCTCAGCTATGTAGGATTTTAATTAGAGCAGAAGTATTGACAGGAGAGACTCTCAAAAGAACCTCCCAGTCAAAATTGGCCGACAAGGCGGCCGGACTATATCGTCAGGCTTTGCCACGGGATGCTCGGTATTCCACCTGCCGAACTTGAGTCGAATGATGTTCGGAACACTGAAGATGCTCCTGGACTTACTCGAGCCGTGACCCCATTCAATTGGATGAGCGGTTTCGAAAATGCATGAATGCATGTATGTATGGACAGGTTTAGAAGACATGAGTCTCAACAGACCTAGGCCAGGTCAGGTCATCAGCTAGATGCACTTTCCGATTTCCTTAACGTGCCTTGCGCTCACGTGATTCATCACTGATCCATGAAGGATATTCAGCTCCCTTCAGCGCTGAATACCTTTCTCTCCCCTGAAAGAGAAAAAGTGGGTCCCCAACACAGAAACCAACTGCAGTGATTTTTTTCTTCTGTTTGTTGATAATCTTGGAAACTTTTTTTTTATCATGTCCCAAATGAATTTTTGCTTGTAGGTACTTACTTAATAACCTGACGAATCCCGATTCTCAGTCTGACTCGGGGGAAAAACACTGAGAAAGCAATACTGCCTCTGAGGACGTCCGAGCTTTGAACAACGATGATTTTTTCTTTGAAGCGGCGGCGCGTCTCTCATCGAATGGAAGTAAAGCGAGAATCTCATAAGTGTCATACTGGGTGTTCCATTTAAAACGCAACCCAAAGTACAACAGCAATAAAACAAGACAAGCGAGTTGTTTGATAGTTTTTATTTGTTTCGGAAGAATATTACAGGAACGTACAGAACCGGCTTACCAGAACCTCTGCATTTGTATCTCATCTAAATAAAAAATAGCCCTCTCTTATAATTTATAAGAGATGTATATTCGTTCTACTACACGAGTAACGTGTAACCTTCTCATTGTTTCGAGAAGGCTACACGTTACTCGTGTCCAACCATTTTTATTATATATATTATATATGGAATGCCCTACTTAATACTTGTTCCTTCACAATCTAAAAGATCCAAGGCTTGTGAACTGACCTACTTCCATAGTTATCCTCAATCTCATTTTCAAATTTTGCCTTTCCTTCCCGAGACGCATCAAAGAGGCTAATGTCCAACGAAAGTTCAGCCCAAGAGACCATCTTACTATTATTGAAAATGTGCACTTTGGGAAGATTGACTTGCATTTCGGTTGATTTTTCCAATTCCATCACCGGAGCATTCATCTAACACGTAAAGAGCTTTTGCAAATTGCTTCTTTTTCAATTATTCAAAAATTTGCTTCTTCTCAAGGAGCAAACTACCAGTTCATGTAACGTATGCAACGTCTCGTCGACCCAGTAAACCGATCCTCCCTTGCGAAAGATCATTCCTTTGGCGGTTGACTAGCTGAAGATGATATCTTAATTAACATCTGGGCAAGTGTGGAAGGACTGTATCTCCTTTCTTGATTTCCTGTTCGCAGGGTCAACATTGGAAATAATTTGATTATGTGTTGGTCTCTTTGTCTCTGTCCTTTATCTGTCACCTTCCCTCCTCTTTTCTATCCTCCTCCTTTCTATCCTAGAATGTACTTCAGCTGAAAGTTATCGGATAGAAACACAGATACATATCTGAGTTCGATGAATACATATCTTCAAGATCCTCGGAGATCATCTACCCATCATTTTCAATGCATTTCCTGGTGAATTCCAAATGCGAATCGAACTGATACCGTTTCTGAACATTCCCTAACATTCAAGGAAAGAGATGGATCCTTCGGAACGTGTGTATATATTCCATCACGCGCTCACTTGCTTAATCTTTTGCAGATGGCTTCCAAGACAGCACCTCCTTACAAGGGACTGTCTCAGGAAGCTCAAGAAGCAGCAATTGCCATCATGGAGAAATTCGAAAATCGGAGGAAGGAAATCCGCCAGATGCTTGATCACGTCGAGAAGGAGCTCCATGCCCATGTGACTAAACCGACATTTTCATCTCACCGATGAATTTGCAGAGATTCCAACATGACAATGCATGATCTGACAGGTTGAGTCTTTCGTTGAGGGGTTGAAGGATCAATCCGATCGGAAATTCGCTGCCGTTGAGGAGAGCCTAGTCGAAACATTCCACGTGATCATGGAAGAAACGGAGAGGGGGAAAAGGATGGAGGAGGGTTTTGCTGAAATGGAGCAGCGAATTGCCGAACTCTATGAGCAAGCCTTCGGCACAGAGTGATCAGTCTTCGGGGAAGACAAATTCGAGTTCCGAGTTTCGTTTTTCAATACTCCCTTCTTTCTTTTCAATTCAAGAATTGAGGCATTTCCGCCTGAAAGAATAATAATTCCTGTTTTCTGTTGAAAAGAATGCTGACGTGAACTTATCAATTTATTGATGGGCTGAGATGCGCAAGTGAAGTGACAGCATTCCTTCACTACGCTGCTTTGGCACGATGCGAAAGCATAAAAGACGTTCATTATGGGTTGCCCAGACACCGCGTGTTATGGAAAGAAGACTCGAAAGAGAGAGAGAGAGAGAGAGATTGGGGGAGAGAAAAGATGGCACATGCGCTATGGCTCAATGTGCTCGCGTAAGTGTAGGCCAGTGTCGTAGATAAGCCCATAGAGTGTGGCAACCCCAGACAATCTGTGATGAACACGCATACCGGACTTCCAGTGCCTCAGTGTGTTCCAATGCGTGAACAACCGCATCGCGATGGACATCGTTATTACACTCTAGTTTATCTTCTCTTTCGCGTGTTAATGTAAGTCGAAATATGGGGCTACTGATACTGTCAATGTATCAGTAGCCCCATATTTCGACCGGGTGGGATTGTGTTATTCATCTTATTTTATGGCACATTAGCGATTATGGAACTTAAGAATGTAATGCGAAAAATAATGAGGCTGAAAATCTTCATGCTTCTTCGCTGATAAACGACCTTGAAAGCAAATATTTTCCTCTCGGTATCCATGACAGAAAGCCCTCGCTATTGGTTCTTTCAGTAGCGTGCCCAACGGGGGGGGTTGGGGGTCATAACCTCCCCCTTGGGGTCAATTTTACAGGTTCGATTCTCAAAAAAAATTTTATTTGGACACAAATACGGTGTGGGTTATCAGTTTTTTTCATATGTTAACCCCCCCCCCCCCCCCCCCCCCCCCATTAGGGTAGGTAATCAGTGTTTCATATGGCGACCCCCCCCCCATTCGGATTTCCTGGGCATGCCACTGTCATTAGCACACAGCAACCACAGGGGCAGTTTCAGAATCCTGTCATATGTTACAGACATCAAAAAAGAAGGGGCCAGCACTAGCTAAATAAGAGTTGAATTTTCAGAATGATACAGATGATGGCATGGCTGAATTGGTGGGAATAAACTATTCAAGGGAGGCAGGCTATCAATGATGGACACAGTAACAACAGAGTAAATGCGAAACCATCCTTCCCCGCCCTCTAAATGCAGAGCCCAAAAAGTGCATGGAAGACAAGGCAATGCTGAATAAACTAGAAGCTGAGCAAACTCAAGACAGTCATGAGAAAAAACTACAAGGTAAAAGAAGGGACTGTTTCTCAGGGTAGCCAAAGTCTGCTTTGGAATGGCTAAAAAGACAGAACTTTTTCCATAGTTTAAATTATGGTATGAAAATAAATAAATAAATTTTTTGTGGTAAAACCTAGACCAGCATGGGAGATGGTCCACCACCAACCCAACACAAGTTCATCACATCATACTTTCCCAAATTGGTATTATGCAGTGGACAGGATGCATGAAATTGATTGATTAACTGCAAGACCAGGAGACAAGCTAGAGATTAGAGGATTGGACAGGCACAGAGATTACAGCATGGGAGCTAATTGAGAAGGGATAGGAATGGCTTTGAATGTTTCAAGAAATGAAGTTATGTATTTAAATGAGATCCAGTCTCTTCTTTAGTGGAGAACATCAAAATGCAAGGGCACAGAACAGAAACATTTAACTCTGAAGTTGTTGGCTAATAAATTTTACATAGGGTCCTCCATGAGAGTCCAATGATTATTAAAGGCAAAACAAATGTGTTTTTGTTGCTTTCATTTTTAGTTCAGTACTTGAGACCTCCAAAAGGCATACATCCTGGATAAGAGAAGTGCAACAGTATCTTAATAGTCAAAATAAGTTCATAGTTTATCATATAGGTCATTTTGTGTGCATGGGACAACGAAAATGTCCATGACTTTCAATGAGAGATTGATACAAAAGACACTTCTCTTAAGGCATGTACCACAGTATTGGCAAAGGTCTTATCAGTTTTTCATGCAATGAAATTGATCTGGTAGTTTCTTTGTGTTGGTCTGTGTTTTGAACATTAGTTAACGTACTTTTTACATATATCATGGGGCCTTCAAGATCTCAAAAAGGCACACCAAGGCATTGAAAGGAATCCCATGCTACATTCCAGTTAACAATAGTAGAGCATCCAGTATCATACTTCTGATTCACCTCTAGACCCAATACTGCTACCAGCATTTAGGATGCTCTTCAGAACTAACACTACTGACTGTCAAATGCAGATAACCCATCACCAAAAGGGTTTTTCCAGCTTGGAATTGGGTAAAGGTCAGATTAGGTGAGTAAGAGGGGGATTGCTTCCTTCCCACATGTAAATTCACAGAATTTGTGAAATGGCATGTAGTATTTTTATGAAGCATGATCTTACCCAGAGCCTAATGTCATGGATGATGCCTGTCACATGGCCAGACACAGGTTCTTAGACAGAAAATCCTTGTCATTACAGTGTAGTACTAGGAATTCCCATTCAAGATACAGTATCAGGGTCATCTAACAAAATAATCCATAGCTTAACAACTCCTTGGCGCTTCATTCATGATAATATAATACACAATATAACTAATTCTATGGGTATAGTCCTTATAGACAAAGAAGAGAACTTTCTTAATTTCATGTTTAGTCTGGGGTGGATTAGGTCAGGTCTTAGTGCTTCACTTGAACTAATCAATGGATATGAAGTATTATTTCAAATACTTGCTCACTGAGATCAAACTATGGACTGTCCCCAAAAAAGGAAGCTCACTTAATATTGATGGCGATAATCACACTCTAAATGTGTCTTAGTACCTTATGTAAATATATATGTAAAACTGAATCAATCACATGTCACACTTTTACATATCTCAATGTTAGCATCCAACAAGTATGAACTTGTGAACATTTCCAGGATGTGCATCGTGAAGCTAGGTTCCTCAAACAAGAACATAGCTGCAATATATGAAAAGAAACATGCATACAGATTCATGGTAGAAATTTCCAACAACTATTGTAACATTCATTTATATGCTTTATATAGGCATGCACTTTACTGTTATCACAGCATTAATATCAAGTAAGATAACTGGGACGCTCCATAACACTGCGAACGTTAAGACCCTTTAGCCTACTGGTTCCACTCTGGAGTAAACAAACTTATTCCCAGAAAGCTACTTTTCACTTCTGTGCTGGTGTGCTAAACATAGACCAACAATGCATGACTAATAAATAGTACGGCTACTTTTTGGGCAACGGATGCGAAGTAAACCGTTCTCGAGCTTGTATGAGCAGCGCCTACTAGGCCAAACGGAAAGCAATGGTTCAATGGCGACGAGATTATGATAGGTAAAAAGGGGAAAAAAATAGGACCGACAGCAGGCCTAGTGTACATGGAACAACAGAACGGAACAGAGGATGACGCAGCTCGCAGAGCATATGGTGAGTGAGCGGGGAGCCATGTTGACACATGCGCCGTACGGACCGTGAGTGGAATGAAACACGTGAGCGGCTGCTTGTCGTCTGCAGCTTGCTCGGCCGTGCACCCCATTTAGCCCACCTCCATCCGCGACTCAAGGGTGAATGACCTCGGCGGGCGGCGGGCGTTTGCCTTGTCTTCCTCGTTTTAGTGCGTGTGACACGGATGGAAGTTTTCTTTCCTTCCCTTTGTGCTCTGCCACAGAATAATAGCTCTGCCCTTTCCGTATTCTTCATTTCGTTGAATAGGCCTATGCGCTTGTGTCTCCCGAAGTCCTATGTGGTGCTGTGTTTGGTTGGATTGAGTGGGAAAAGCAAAGTCCGCTGAGTGTACTCAAGGGCCTAGGCGTAACGTAAGGAAGGATGTTGAACCCATTGAGAGCTGGTTATGGGATCCATACCATGACGCCCTCAAGATACATGTAAAAAAACAAGGCCTCCTCTCGATCGGTCAACATCGTAGTCCCGTAAGTTAGCTGAAGGCCGGTGTATGGGTAATGACCCCTCGGCTTGAAACGTAAGCCGATATGCCTGAAGGCTGAGACTTGAAATGCCTCTTGGTCTTAGAAGTGCTTGACCTGGAGTTCTCTGGAGATCTAGCCTAACATGGTACAGCTCTGTAATAATTTAATTGTTTACTATTTTAAGAAGTACTTGCATTTTATTCACAGGGCATTGTGGGCAGCTGAGCAGAGCTGCAAGCATGGATGAGTATCTTCTGAAAAGGAGGACCCATGATTCAGAAACACTACAGGCCTTGTACAGCCTCTGGGTCCAAGCTTCTCATGTGGACCTCACCATTTCTTGTGACGATCGGTCCACAAAAGTGCACAAGCTCGTCCTCATAGCTTCCAGTGGCTATTTTCAAAAACTCTTCAGCCGTGACTCCAAGGACAATGTCAACGCGATCCACTTCCTGGAGACGTCGTTCGAGCTCCTAAATCTCGCCGTGAAATTCATGTACTGTGGGGAAGTGAATGTCCCAAGTGAGAAGTTTCCATCATTCATGAAGCTGGCAGAGAAGCTGGAAATCAAGGGCCTCTCTCAGGGAGCCACCACGAACGGCAACGGATCCTTGGAGGCCGAGCCCCTCAAGACCCCGATTTTGCGGTCTGAAATGCCCAGGAACAGAAAGAGAAAGAGTCACCCAGAAAAGACGCTCAGAGATCGAGATACTCCTTCGTCGCTTCCAATGTACCAACCCTCGTTTTACCAATATCCCATGGACATGTCCCAAAGTATCGTGACTACCAACGGGGATGAATCTTTCTCAGATCATCAGACACCAACTGTAATGTTTTTCTGGCTTTTTTTTTATGGAGGAACTGTATTGTTCCAACTTGATCATTGTTAAAACAATGCTGGTTTTTCGCTCAAGCAGGTGAAAGAGGAAATGGAGGATTATGATATCCGTGATGAGGAAAAGGAAACCCAGGTTGATGTAAAACTGGATGGAGAAAGTGAGAGCTCATCAAATGGTGGTCCTCCAGAGCTTCAGCCTCAAATAGCTGTAAGGATTGTGTTGTGTGTGGTTCCAACTTGCATTTAAAAAAATATGTTCATGGTGAATCAATTTCATGTCTCAGTGAATTAAGGGAGTCATAGAATATTCATTTTGTGCTCGGTTTGAGCCATATGACTGAATGCTCAGCTGCAGTTTCCCTTATGGAATTTTTTGTCTTGTTTTGCAACTTTAGACTCTACTCATAGGTTTTCCAACAATAGGAAAGCTTACATCTTTCCCATTATCTTTGATTGTTGATCTAGATCAATTGCTTCAGTGTACAAACTATGGAATCCCATAATGAGCAAAATTAGCTTGATAGAATGGTCAGAATGAGAGATCAACAAGTATGAGCCTGTGTTTTAAGTTAATTTCCTCTCACAATTACATATGCCAAAAGGCAAATGATTGAATGTATGTGCCTTCTGAAAGAGTTGTATATTTCTGTCTCCTGTTGGTTGTTGGATTGTCATGGGAAAAGGATTGAGTATGGAAGGTCAGTGTTGTCAAAAGTGAAGCTATACATGGAAGTGGAGTTGTCATTCATGAAGCACATCAGCTGTATATCCTTTTCCCCAACCCCATGTACTCATCTGGAAAGCAAAGCTATTGACATTGCACAGAAATGCTGACCTTCTACAGAAATCTCCCATCATTATATTCACCAGACAGGTGACATTATTTACAGGTGATCACATCACTCGTAATGTGTACACACCCTATCTCCATGTTTGCTTTTCTGCTCAAACTCTTATAATTAGTTGATGCATAGAGCAGGTAAACTTCTGTGTTCATAAAAGATTCAGTCATAAATTGTGTGAATGCAGAGGCATATATTATGCAAGTGTGTTTTATTCATGTGGAGCTCAAAAACATTTTGCTCTTTCACAGTTCATTTGATTCTGATAACAGTCACATAAATACCCATGTTTGTTTTTTCATGGTGAAATAGGACGAGTTGATACAGCAGATGGAGGACACAGGGAAACCTGTCTTTACCCCTGAGGAAATTGACCCCAAGGTGAGATTGGAAAATTAGTTTTGACTTCATAATTGGTGATGTAGACCCAAGAATTGTAATTAAGTTGAATGTATTCATTTCCACATGAATTTCATAGGATATGACATCAACTCAGTTCAATGAAGTAACATAAGCATCCATGTTAAGGTTGACTGGGATTGAGGTGATTGGTTTTCATAGGTAACACCCAGTTTTTTGGGGCAGAGGATACTGTGATTCTTTTGTAAATGGATTTTAGGGTGTGATTTGAAAACCTGTTATTAAAAGAGATTTAAATTTACATGCTCACCCTTGAAGATGGTACTTCAATGTGAATGCTTGAGTCGAAGGATGATAGGATAAACTGTTTATGTTGTGGTTTTCTTCTATGAACATTTTTTCAATGTTTATTCCAGGGCCAGATTGTGAGGACAGGGGCAGTGTCCTGGTCAGGCTACACTTTTCAGGGAAGGCTCATTCACTTCTGTGGTATCTGCCCTTACAAAGGAGTCAACCGATCCAAGGTCCAGCGTCACGCCCGGGTCCACACGGGAGACAAGCCGTTTGAATGTGATGTCTGCCACAAGCGGTTCTCCCAGAAGGACAACCTGAAGACGCACATCGTGGGGGTCCACTACCGGGACCGGTACCAGGCTTCCATGCCGACGCTGTCTTCCCCGATGCCTTCCACGTCGTCCACCGTCCCGGCCGCCCAGTGACGCCGGGGTCGTCTCCTTCCTCGTTTTTACCAGGGTTGTTGTTCTCGTCGATCACTTAACCGACAATGTACAAACGTCAGTATCAAACCGACCTAGGGTTTTTCTCACCAGTTGCCTGTTAAGAGGGTTCTTTCATGTGCCTTACCATTGTTATATCCCTTTTATTTTTTGTGGTGTATTGTTGATTTTATCAATAAAGGGGTTGTTGTACATTCTGACTCTCGTTCTCTTCGCGTGGGTCTCGGCCGAGGTCACGCACAGACACGTCGCAACCTCGTGTGGGTGCGGGTGGCAACTGCTCCCAGGGGACATCTCTGGTAGCTGACTGTGTTCATAAGCGATATTAATCGCTGGAATTCCTTTATGGTCCGGTTGGATTTTTGTCAAAAGAGGATTGTTTCCTTATTTGGTCAATTTAGTCTGCTGCTGGATTATTGGTTTTCATGTCACGATTTCAATAACCGACTGAGTCAAATTTACCCTTATTTTAGTTGCACATTTGTTTCTGTCATTGTTGTCACGTGTAATATCGAAATCCTGCGACAAAGTCACTCTTCCATCAGAGGAGTAGAGATTATCCCATTTGAGACCAGATCGATTCCATGTTTGACTCGCCTTTAGGCAAGCAAACTTTGCATGCAATTCCATCATCAATTAAATTCGGCATCGTTTCCTCATCAGATGTTGGTTGAGGTTGTGCCCATTATCAAGTTTTTGTTTCATTTACGTCACAATTGATGAGATTGACTTTGCAAGGAGAGTATTTCCTAAAGAAGTTAGGGGTTTAGCAGTGATGCGCTTCAGGTATTGAATCCATCAACTTCAACATCTTTTTTTGCATTATGTGACCTTGCAATATTTACATGAGAGCGCATGTCAACGATGCAAGATATCTTCATGACTCCCAACGTTTCGATGAAACACCTTTTTCAAACGGGAATAGGAAAACAGACCACATGATTAGATCAGATTAAGGAGCCACTTGACGGCGGAAAAGAAGGGACAAGAAAATGAAAATCCTGTTTCCTCCAATCCTCTTGCATGGGTCTTCCATTCGCTGACGCGTGACAATTCACAAAGCCTTTCCGCACTCGGAACATCCTCGAGCTCTCGTGAATATTGAATCGCAGTCTGAGAGCAGTTCCCGTTTTTCTCCCACGTATTGTTACTCGCACCTCTTGCAATCGATGGTGTAAACAACACTGCGCGAGTCACTGTTGTGTACACCCTCGGTCCTGAAAACGAGGGAAAAATTCGGTCCTTTTCCCACCAGGAGCCCCGCCCTTCGTGACGTCCCTAAAAAGATTTTCTTGCCGGTCTCATCGCGCTGCAACACACGGAATCTCGGGATTTCGACGCGTCAGCATCCTTCTTTCCTTCTCGAGGAAAATCCCGTCGACTTTCAACCATGGGGGACTTCCACACGGAGAATCCGAGAATCTCTCCTCGTTTTTCGAAGGACTTCCTTCCTCCGTCCAGAAAATTGTCGGAAGAATTATCGAATGGATCTTTCGAGGTTCTTTCATCCCTCGCTAGATGTCTCTGAGGCGTGCACGCTCGCCCGCTCTCTTTCGTTTTCGAATTTCGTCCTTCTAATGCTGAGATCCTCTCAACCTTTTAAAATATTTTTTGCTTCCATCGACCACTGGAGTTCTTTTTTTGGCGTTTTCACGGGAAAACGGAAACGTCGGGGCTGATTAAAAATTTGATTTAAAAAAAAGAAATTGTATTTTTTTTAAGCGCGTTATTCTGATTACTTTATTCGTTTACGATGATTTCAGTAATGCATCTCATTGTTAAAATGTAAAAATTAGTGCCACGAAACGGCATTCCCTTAAGACTGTTTTAATTGATACGATTGACCCAACTACCAACCCGAAAACGTAATTCATGAGCAGGAAATCCGAAACATCGAGACGAATTAGTTATTTGCATAAATATACTGTATATATATATATATATATATTATTTTTTATATGGTCAAGCAATAATAGTTGATACCAAGGTATAATGAAAGATTACAGAAAAAAAATTTAAACACGGCGAAAATTGATTATAATGCACGCTGCAACAGCTTTTTCCCCGACGCTCTTGAAGAGCCTGCGAAATCCAGCGCAAACAATCCGCTGTTCCGCCTCATTATCCCGTCTCGGATTTCAATGTAAACATTTAACGGGAAATCGCATCGACAACAGGCCCCCCCC